CAGTTGGGGAGGTTGCTTGGGCTTGAATATCGATTGCTAAAGCACCTGGCTGTCCACCTGGAGCCAGGGGCTGAAATAAAAGCACTGGACGTGGAGAGGGTCTCTTGGCTGCCGTTGTGACTTCTGTCCCTTACACACTGGAAACTCCTGAAGATGCTGTAGAAGAGACCCTGCAGGAGGCATCAAGAGAGGAGATGGTCCTCTCAGTCCAGCCCTGCCCTGGGGGACATGCGCTTGCGGGTCTATGGAGGAGACGTCAAAGGGTACAGGAGGAGAGGAGGCAGCCCTCGAAGCTGTGGAACATTCTGGTCGCCTCAGCTACTCTGGCGTTACTCCTTTAGTCCTGTGAGCCGGCAGCTCTGACCCCTCCTCTGCTCTGCTCTCATCCACACAGGAGAGGACTGAGGGACTAATGACTGCAGAATGCTCACAGCCCAGTCCCAAGGTGCTCAGTCAATGGGAGAGCCTCACTGGGAGCAGGGGAGAACCGAACATACTTTATAATTAAAATATTTACAGTTTTAAGATCCGCATGTTGTTTGGAATGTCCTTAATTTTATGAGGAGACTCCTCCCCCAGGGAAATTGTGGATCTAAACTTTCTCGGAATGCCTGTCTAAGAAGAGGAGGGAAGACCTGTTGGATTCAAAATCTCCACTGCGGGGAAGGCGCTGTGGTCAAACATTTCAGAACAAAAGTCACTTTACCGCTATACCAAAAACTCAAACAAAACAAAACGAAAAACCAGCCTCTCAAAACCAAACACAAATCCCCGCCAGCTTGTCTGTGGGAGGCTCCCAGAGGAGTCCTGTGCAGGACATGGGTAGCGCCCCCTGGCAGAGGAGCAGGACCGGCCTGGAGAGGGCAGGCAGTACCTCCCCAGGCACCCAAGCCTTCCTTTAGTTTTCAGACCTCACATGCTAACATACATTCCCCATCTCACAAACAACAGAGGAAGTGAAGTATATGTATTCACTGGCTTTCACAGTATTCATAGCAGAGGGGGGTCTGAAGCCCAGGACCCGAGCTGGCAGCCTGCCCTGCCCTGCTGCTACTTTGCATACGCTCTTCCCAGCCCACTTGCTTTACAGAGCTGTTCTGTATTTTACCACTTGTCCCAGCTTATCATGAGACCTTGCCTCGTTCTCAAAAGTGCTGTTTCAGATAATGTCCCTGCAGTGTGGCTGCGACCAGGGCTGTTGGACCAATAGAGATGCGCTCGGCCCAGCACACAGGGGTCTCCTATGATCTTCATCTGCATTTGTCCTTTTAGAAGCCCCGGGTTTCCTTGTTGTCATGAAAATTGCTGTCCTTTATACACCTGAAATTCCTAGCGATGCCTCAGGAGAGAGCCTGTGCCCGTGACGCAGCCCAGGCAGCTGCTGCCCGAGTGAGTCTCCATCCCGCCCAGAGGTGGGACTTCTACCCAGGCAAGTCCCAAAAATGTGGGCGCTGTGGCCCAGATGGCACACCAGCACCTGCCTGGTGAAAAGGTGTCCATTCTCATGGAACAGTTATTCTCTGACAGCCACAGTTCCCCAGGACAAGGTGAAGGCCGATAACCGCACATGGTTAGGATGAGAGAGGGGCCTGGAGAAGACACATTGAACACAGGTCTTTGTCCTGAGAGCAGTGGCTGTCTGTCCCCAGGAGTGTGGAGCCTGCGTGTGGCTCGCAGCCTGTGGGTGCCTTTCTGGAAGGACTG